ATTTCAGATACCAGATACAAATACTTTTCTAAAAAGGTATCTGAAATACTAGATACAAAATACCTATCTTTAAAATACTTTTTAAAGATAAAATACTTTTGTAAGAAAACAGCATTTAATAAATTTTAATTGAATGTAAGTTTATTCGTTTTATTTGAAAACAGTTCTCGGATAGACCGCGTTGATATCAAGGATCAGGCAAATGTGACAAGACAAAATATGTAGGTAAGTTCGCGATCCCGAATCTCACAAAGGCGATATTGTTATTTATTAATTACAATATTTTATTTTAAACACCATACACCACGTCCACGTACACACGAAAAACCTCAGCGAAAAACTTACGGAAGGAGTGACAGTGACACTAGTGACAGATCACACTCATTGACAATCTTTTTTTTTGTATTATTTGTTTAAATTTTAATTTTGGCATTGACGATCTTACTTACTTAACCGATGACATTTGTAAAAAGATAGTGTCGCCATCTGTCATTTAGTTTCCGATCCGTAAAAATATGGTATCGAAATAAACGACGCGCTGCGTTCAGTTGCGTTCGGAAAGAAAAACTGCGAAGTTTATTTTAGTAAAAGTATCTTAGTGAACAAAGTATCTTCAAAATACTAAGATACCTGGAAAATGTATCTAAATATAAGATACAAAATATAAAAATTAAAAAGTATTTCAAATACAAGATATAAATACGTATTTTGTATCTTGTATCTGTATTTCAGATACTTTTATCTAAGATAAGTCACATCACTGGTGAAAACGTGCATACGTCTAATTTTAATTATGGCCAAAAATCTGTAAAATTTATTTAAAAATTATAATAAAAGTGATCACCTTTTAAAACATACTTACAAAACTTATAATACAAGTAACGCCACCTATGACATTAGTTGTGAACTTATTGCTCGTAACACAGCGTAGTCGCCGTAGCCGTTCGTAGCATGCGGCTACGTCGTAGTTCCAATTATTACCGCTCAATTTTAATCATGTCGCGTAGACAGTAGCGCTAATGAAATCTGCTTTTGATAACGGACTTTATTTCTATGTTTTTAAGAATGATTTTTGTATATCAAATATTAGGTTTAATTGGTAAGTAAAAGTTTTTTACAAGATATGAAATGCTTCCTTGGTCGAGTGACTCAAGTGTAACTGTTAAGCAAAGAGTTAATGAGGATTCGATTCAAACGTGTATTAGGTATTTTATGTGTTCACGCTAAGAGGGCCTACTATGTGAGGTGAACCTCTATTACATAATAATATGATTTGATAGGATACAGATAAAGAAAAATTTTAGTACATAAACATCCCACATAGGAAAAAAACTGCAACAAATATCGATAACAAAAAAATTAAAAGAAAACTAGACCACCTCAAATTATAATAATCCCAGAAAATAGCACTCAATATTTTTACAATACAATAAAACAGTGAAACTAGAACAGAACCTTCAAACAATTGCATTTTATTATATCTCTAAGGTCCACGACACATTAATGAATTTCTTGACGCAACCTTGTAACAAAGTAACTTATCATTGATATTATAATAGTCAAAACAAAAGCAAGATACGGAAACTATTGATAAAAAAACATAAATTACCAAATTACTCCCAATTATCTTTAACACATTAGCAACTTTAATCCACTTGTTATAAAGTTGAAAATAAGTACTCAATTTTATCTCAGTACTGGCAGGTTAAACTACACCAATCTTGTTATTTGTGTAAACATTCTCGACTTTAATACATTTGGGATACAGTTGAAAATTCACTATTGATTGGAGTAACTTAATGTGGTATCAAGTACGTGTTAAATATGAATGAGATTATTAAGAATTGAATTTGTTATCACCCAATTTTATATTCAATCTTAAATAAATAATTGATTTTTAATGATATTTATCAGAAAACTAACGAAGTAATTCTGTGAATGATACAGCCAATTTGAAGATATAATCTGTGATGCCTAAGAGCATTTGTGATTTAGAAAAATTGCCCTTATTTCCTTTGTGATCATGGTATTATGATTTTTTTAATGAAACTGCACAGTTTTTACTTAAACTAACGTTCATTATGTCCTTATAAATTACTTAAAAAGGAACTAAATTAAACATAAAAAAGAAATTCTAAACAGAATGAATTGATCAGTAATTGATAAATAAAATCTCTTTTGAAGTAGCAGGTACATATATACTTTGATAAAAAAAACATAGTCTAATCTCATAAATTCGTCACCGGGTATTCACGTAATATACTAAACTGATGCAAAACAGAATTAGTCATCGTTTTATTTTGGTATTACCATCTGGTGGAAAATATACATACATACGAAAAAATACGTGAATTAATATCGCGATATAGAAAAAAAATACTGTTTCGGTGGCAGTAGTAGATTCAGTTTTAAGTGTGGGAGAGTCATGCTTCAGCATGAATGTGCAGGCTCGACTGAAGTGATACCACGGCCTCACAAAAAAACCGACGTCAAACGACGTTTGCGTTGTGAGAGAGAGGTTATCGAAGGCCCAATTACCCCTCCCCCCTTCCCCAATATCTAAAATCCCTAAATCCCCAACAATCGTTAAGATCCTAATCCCCTAAAGGCCGGTTACGCACTTGCAACGCCTCTGGTGTTCCAAGTGTTCATGCGCGACGCCGATTGCTTACCATCAGGTGATCAGTCTGCTAGTTTACCGGATAGGTGTCTCATAAAAAAGTCAGAAAGGCATTATTGGCGATTGCCTTAAAATATATTTAATAACTGACATAACATAACATCACGCCTTTTATCCCCGAAGGGGTAGGCAGGCACATTATGCCAATGTACAATGTAACACCCACTTTTCACTATTTATGTTATGAGTCCCGTGTAATAGGGGGTGAGCCATATTAAAGTTTTATGTTTTCTCGTGGAATTCATATCCAAAAAATTAAATAAACATGAATCACTGAAATGTCTGTGAGCGCATAACTCTTGAACTACTCGACCGTAATGGAAAAGGTTTGACATTAATGAAATCAACGACACATTCACCGGGAACATCAGAAAATTGTACCTACCTAGTGTTTTTTAACAGTAGAGTTCGGTTTAAGATACATTTTCTGCCGGTCAGGTGGCTCAAGAACACCTTACGGTTTCCCCCACAAGCTTATGAATGAGGAAGGAAACTTTTAATATCTTTTTAAAAGACAATTTCCTTCACATTCGCTAGTGCATTCGTGATTTGAAGGCCATGACCGGTCGTAAGCTTTCCTACAAGGTAGTTACAGCAATTCTGACGGGTATTTAATAAGCTCATTCTTTTAACCGAATTATAATTAAGTATTACATTATTATAGTTACCTGCTTAGACTGAGATTAATTTAAACAAACCAAGCACTTTTATTTGAATGAAAGGTAAAAGGATTTTAATAGCTCATGTATGTAGCGGAATAGGATTCCGCCGTGCGTGGATGTTAGTGGAGGGTCGCGCAAATGTAGGAAGGGGTATTTTCGTCCAATCACAGCAGGTGTCAAATATAGAACGTCCAATGGTGTGACACTAGCTAATTCCCTATTGGACTCAGAACGAGAAGTTCTCAATAACGCCATCTAGTAAGTAAGTACGGTAAGCCCCATTGAAAAGGTCTTATGTATTTCTGCAAACCCTATTGAAGAAGTCTTATATATTTCTACAGACCCCATTGAAGAAGTCTTATATATTTCTACAGACCCCATTGAAGATGTCTTGTGTATTTCTACAAACCCCATTGAAGAAGTCTTATATATTTCTACAGACCCCATTGAAGATGTCTTGTGTATTTCTACAAACCCCACTGAAGAGGTCTTATGTATTTCTACAGACCCCATTGAAGAGTTCTTATGTATTTCTACAAACCCCATTGAAGAGGTCTTATGTATTTCTACAAACCCAATTGAAGAGGTCTTATATATTTCTACAAGCCCCATTGGAGAGGTCGTATGTATTTCTACAGACCAGAAGGGGGTTTGTAGACAAATATTTCACATCGACCTTGCCTACATTTAGCAAAAACTGATGTTTATAACGGTCATTAAGTTACCCTACAACTTGTAGTAGCTTTAGCTATTAACACGTCACCACATGCGTGATACGATGAAGTGTCGGAAAAATCAATTTAGAGGTCATTAACGATGACCGTTTATCAGTATCTAACTTTATTTTTAAAACGAGACGTTGACTGGGCTCTTATCGTTGTAAAGTTTATTCAATAAACAGATATTACGAATATTTGAACTAATTCATATTTGAACAAATTAAACGCGGACGAAAAAAGTCAAACAATCTCAGTGCAAAGCTTAAACAATGAAAATGGTCAAATAAATCCGTACAATAGATGATCTTGCGCAAACTGTTTGCGCATAGCAACGCATATTCGTTTTACTTTTTCTTTCTCTCGACCTTTTCTTAGCTAGGTTAGGGTCAGCACTGAATATTATTCTTAACTAGACTCGACTGAATGTCAGTATTTTGTATAGAACGACTGCCATCTCCTCTACTCATGCTAAGGGCGGTATCACATTCTTAGTTAAACAATTTCAATCAATATTTATGAGCGTCTACAGATTACCCGTGACTAATCTCCACGGACGTTCTTATGAACGAATTCTCGACTGTACTCTTTAAAACTACTTTTTTGCAAAATATGGTCTAAATAAATGGACATACCGGTGTGGTGGAAACTGGGGAAGGATCTGGTGATGGTGGTACCGGAGCATGGCCCTGTGCCACGGACACCGCCACTGTTCCCAGGAACACGGCCAGTGCCAGGCAGACAGACCGCTTCTTCAGCATTTTGACCCTGGAAATTGTGTTTTAGGAATCATTAGCTTTTTTATAATAGATAAAAGAATAAAGTTAAATTAGAATTAAATCTTTGACCACGTTGAATACCTGGGGGGCTTACAAATGGGGGGGACTTGCCCTTAACAATTTTACGACGGCAGTCAACAAAGCCTTAAAGAAAATAAACTAATAATTGATGAAAAAAAAAAAAACTTTCGCAGTTGGGACGAACTTTAATCATAGTACAGTTAACTTCAATGTAAATTGAACTATAAGATTGGGAAATGTAGTTTAATTTCCAAATATCACAAGCATGTTTTGAATCATCGCGATTTTATTCTACATGTAAGTTTCAGGTTAATGTACACTCTCGTGTGTTTAAAGATATTTCCTGCTATCTATTTAATGGATTTTGTCATTCAAACATATTGATATTGTCATTCAACTGAAACTAATTACAGCTGGCTTAGCGTAGAACAAAAGTGCAGATTAGATAAGTTTTTACTAACTATGGAAACATCACATAGGAATCTGGGTTCAATCACTGTTTTCTCCAATAAAGGAGAAGTATTAATTTTTTTTAATATTTGTACTGTGTTCTGGTCTCATTACAGTTTGACCACAGAGTACACAACCACTATAAGTAGGTAGTTGGACATGACATAGATAACCTTGGGCCCAATTCATCCCAACATTTGAACCAAGGGCCATGAGAATCAATTAACAATAATAATATTTTTACTGACGTAAAACAATGTGCCATAAAAATTGTTCAAGTTATGACTTGTGGTATTAATATTTTTTCCACAAATAAATAAGTACTTACTTATTTAAAAGTATTTTGTTTTTACCTGAGTATGCAATATAATGGGCAATGGCAATAGCAAATAGTCAATAATCTGTTTGTGTCTTTTTTTTAGGGGGGGAAATCATCGACACTCCCTCCCGCCTCTCGCAAGCGGGAGCAGACATTCGATGATTTTCCCGCCTTAAAAAAAAAGTGTGGGGTAACGTTTTTTCTGAAGAAAAACCTTATGAAATTATAATACACATTATGTAGTCTCATAAAATATTACACAGAGAACTAATAAAATACCTAGGTCATATATTTTTGCATTTTCACATCACATTTACATGTGCATGTAGTAGATACCTAGGTATAAAAATAATTGAAGTACTTTTTAGCATAGAAGTTTAAAATGGGATAGGTATTTAGAATTTTTTTTTTATAAAAATTGGATAAAGTCCAGAGTCTTAAGAAAAATTAAGACATTACTAGTTTTATTCTTATACCAATAAGGCTTATTTGAAACTGTACTACGATAATTTATAGTTTAGGTTTAAATAAAAACAAGATTGAAGGTAATTTGCATTATTAAACTAAACTCATGAGGATAAGAGTATCAAAATATATTTATTTAGAACTGGTTTCTGAATAGAAGTGACTTGTAACTTACAAACATTTTGAACTTTTCAAGGATGTTTTGTAAATTATACTTTTAATTAATTTGTACTTTATTTTTATCTATTTGAGCACCTTACATCTACCAATTTTATTATAGTACTTTTATAATTTTTGTATACATATATATATAATAACTTCATTGTAAAATATTATAGGTAATTTACACAAAATAAACATAATGAGACACCTTTTAACCCCTGAAGAAGTAAGCAGACATGCACAAAAACCTAATTAACCCATAAATCCCCAAGCGGTCACCGGTGACCGCTTTCCACTAATATTACATTACATTATAGACCTTATTTCTAATGTTTAGAGGATACTTTTGTATGACCAAATTTAGGGGATGGATATCAACGGGTTAAATTCCAATTCTAATAAGGCTTTGCTAACCCCGAATCACACCAAAACCCCATGTTTGGCAGCGGTTCCGTTTTCACTACCACTCCAGCAACAAAGCACAAACTACACTTAACCCATAAATCACCAAGCGGTCACCGGTGACCGCTTTCCACTAATATTACATTACATTATAGACCTTATTTGTAATGTTTAGAGACTACTTTTGTATGACCAAATTTAGGGGGTGGATTTCAACGGGTTAAACCAAATTGTATTCAAAGAATAACATACATGGTATGAAATAGTACAAACATATTTTTAGTCTAATTGGTTTGCCTCATTGAAATACAAAATACAAGGTCATCACAAAAATTATTGTTTAAAATGTAAACAGTTTTAAATTTCAATTAGGCAGACAATTCTACTGCTAATAAATGAGTTATTAAAAAAAAGTTTTTAATCAAGTAATTATTTTTTTTAATTACAACAAATTTTTATATTTTTGGTAGGTATTGGGTATAGACTTCTACAGGTGCTTTTTTTAAATTGATAACAAGGTACAGATTAAATAGATACTGTTAGCAAAAGAATTTAGTATGCAGGTGTGAAAATAAATATTGACTCAGTGCAAAGACAGTAGCTATTGTTATAGTAAATTGTATTGGCTTGGAATGATAGGTAGAGCTGTTGCACAGTCATTGGTTGGCTTAGTAACTGCCTTATTATTACTGTATCTATATTGAATGAATCTTTACTATCTTTTTTATTTGTAAACTAAATTCTTGTGCTTGTACTTGTGCTGATGGTATATAGACAAACTCCTTGCTGAATAAAATTACATGCTAGCTATTGGAGTTTATTCATTACTATAGGGACTGTATGAATAAGACATTATCAGTTAGAGTTGAAAACATCTGGACTACACTGTATAAGACACTTAAGAATCTAATTAAATTAATGTAACCTATACTTAAAAGATTTTTATCAAGACCTTCAGTTAAATGGCTAAATTAAATGCATAAAGCAAGGCTGATTGGTAATATTCATAGGCAAAATTTGTTTGGTTACCTATAAAAAGGGTGGAATATCAATTTGAAATAGTGTAACAAAGATATATAACTATTATAACTTAAACAAGCAACTGGCGTGACTTGTGCCCTATAATGATATGATAACAACTAATATTATACTCACTAAGCAAGATTCACGATGTCAATCACAAATCCCAATTAGAATATTTTTTAAACGTTAGTATTTGTTACAGCCACGCTCAATAACTAGGCATAATAATTTGTTATCGGGCAAATAAATAACGTTTTAATCGATTTGAATTCTTGTTCTTGTTAGATTTTTGTGTAACACGCTTTGAAACGTCACCCTCCAAACGTTTGACCGTCGACGTGAATGTCAGACAAAAAGTACTTACATTTTTTTCAACAAACTCGCAGTCGATACCCAAACTATATAACAAAAATAACGTGCAGATAACTTTAGTTCATAGCGCTGCTAATAAACAGTGATTCAATACACGTTTCCTATGATATATTGAACATTTTTCCTCAAAATCGAAATAAACTAGACGAAACTGACGTTTCACTTCACTTCTTTAGAACTTGACATTGACTTGACAGCTAAACCGGAGATTAGCCGTCCGCCAATTTGTCATTTACTTTCACTCCGTTCAGAAAATGCAGGGTATTCGAAAATCAAATCATTAAACTTTTTCAAAAGGTTTCTACATATAAATAACACTGCTATCTCCATGTGCGTGATAATGTCTAAGAGTAAATAAATTAGTAAAATAATAATATTGAAATAGTTTATAATTAGTGCCTTTATTTCATTTCAGAACGAAACTACGTTTAGTTATGGCCTATTTCCTGAAAATGCTGAAAACAAAACGCGGAATTGAAATGATTGTATCGGGCTGACCGAATTGCTGTCACTGTCACTTGGTCATCAACAGATTTTTGAGGTTATGCGAAGCGGGGTCAATGTATTCATAACAATATCATACAAAACTAAACAAAATGCCTCTCGATTACCGGAGATTCAATGGACCTGAAGATAGTATACCTTACAAACGTTTCACTAAAGACTTTGTGAAGAGTTATGATGAACTTTTCAAGGAGTTACTGGACGATAAGGGAGTTCGTAAAGACGGGCGCGCTTTATCCGAAGCGCGTAGCATGTGTATGTTTTGTATGTACTGTTTGATAATAATGGCCTTTTGTGTATAAGAAGCGGATATTTAACTTAGTTTTTGTGTTTCAGTTGCAAGAGCGGACATGGTTTCACAGGCGAAGGGATCCGCTTACGTTGAACTTCGGAAAACAAAGGTCGTTTGTTCTGTGTTCGATCCACGAGAAATTCCTCATCAGAATGAATTTAGGTAACTAATTTTAAACTTTACAATAACTAACCGACATTATCCAAAGAAATGTATCTAGTTTTCAATGAGATTAATAAGTTATAAAAAGTTTACCAGGCTTTGGTTATGATTTACGTTGTGCTGATATTGCATAACAATTAAAAAAAGAAGAAAACTGATTAAAGAGATCCTACGAAAATAATTAGTCAACAAAATTAACCCCAAATATACTATTTTCAGTGAACTTGGTCAAATATTCTGTGAAGTGAAATTCGCGCCATTTTCGTGTCCGCGTAGGCGGCGGCCGCACGCTCCCGACGCTGAAGAAAAAGCTTTATCTGTGGCACTAAGGAAAGCTCTAGAACCCTCCGTTTGCAGACACATGTTCCCTAATTACCAGGTATTATAATGTAATATTTTATTTGTTGATAAGGAAATACCCTCATGTTTTTACTAAAGAAATTTTAAAGTATTAAAAACTGGTTAAAATTTTTGGTATCGTAATTTTATCTACTCAATTATTTAATACTAATAAAAATGTATGTCAAATCAATATCATATCATAGAACATTTTTTCTCCCCTTCCCATTCTCTCGGTTATCGAACTTCATCCAAACCAAGGTAAAAACCTAAAAATGAAAACTTTACCTACTACTTGTTTTGTAAACTGTACTATCCTTATTTACAGGTTGATGTCTTCATATACATTCTGGAAAATGATGGAGCATGCTTATCGGCAGCAATAAACGCTGCTGGCCTGGCATTAGCAGATGCTGCGGTCCCAATGTACGACATCATAACATCCTGTACCGTCGCTGTCATCGGAGACAAAATGTTTGTGGACCCTACCGAAGCTGAAGAGTACTTAGCAACAACAAACCCAGATACACCAATAAATCATGGATTACTTACACTGTCTACGTTATCCGAATTGAAACAAATATCAGACTTTATTCAGATAGGATCGATGGATGTTGTCAGTGTTACAAATGCAATGGAAGTTTTAGAACAAGAGTGTGAGAAACTTGTACCGCTGGTCCAGAAAGTGCTAGTAGGTAATGTACTGAAGTGCTTTGACCAGAGAAAACGGTTGGAGGAAGAAGCTAATGAAAGAGAAAAGGCTTTAAACTCCAAGATGGAGGAATGGAAAAAATTATTAAATGCTGGATGAGATTTATTTCTTTGTTTTATTTGTGTACCTTATTGCTTGATGTTTCTCAGTGTAAAAGTGGGATTATCAAACTAAAACATAACTTAGTTCTTAAACTATCAAACACCAAGTGGTCACCGGTGACTGCAACCTATTGTTCTATAATTGTTTATTTTAATTAATTAAAAATATTAATTTTCTTATAATCTGGATTAGTCTAAACATCACAAAGATTGGAGCACATAGTTACATGATGTTACACCCATTTATAACCAGTTATGTTACAAATACCATGTACAGCAGGACCTCTTTAATCCGAACTCTGAAAATTTTACCCCCTTCGTGTTAGTGGAGCTTTCGGATTATAGGGATATAGATGATAAGGGAAATTTTTTGAATAAAACTACTTAATAGGTACATAGATAATACAGTCTGTATTAACTCGTCGAGTACCGGTTTTGTAGACACAATTATAGAACAATAGGTTGCGGTCACCGGTGACCGCTTGGCGTTTGACAGTTTAATCTGTAAATGTTACTTATTTTATTGAAAGTTTTCGAAGAAATTCAGTATTTTGGTTTGTCATGTGGTGTTTAATGACAAATAAAATGCTTTGTCTCATCATTTCAAAACACGCGGGGGAGTTCGGATTACAGAGGGGTTTGGATTAAAGAGGTTCTGCTGTAATTAGTTTTATAAATAATAATGAACACTGAAATGTAAAGATTCAGTTCTTAGATTTGCTTGGGTTTAGTATTTATTGACACAATATCATTACTAAACTTGACAATGTTTGCAGTAAAACTAAACCTTCAATAAAACATTAATCACTTTACTTAGAAATAATAAGAGTTACACGTCACTTCATATCAGATCAGGTATGTTTCACCACACAACACTGCTTAGAAACGATCAATGAACTTAAAAAAACACAAATTAAGCTTAATCTTCAGGCTTTTCTGGTGGAGGACCGCAAGGTTGTAGCATTCTTTCCATAAGGTTAAACTTTACTCTAGCTTTTGACTCATTTTCAACAATAGCGAAGTAGCTTAGCAGGTCAGGATGCCCCATGTAACTGCAGCACGAATCACGATGTTGATTGGTTAACCACTCATATTTCGTGGTATCTGCGTGTCCCGTACCGATATATTTGCTCTGAAGATGCTCAAGTTGACTGTGAATATTGTATCTCTCACCCATTTTCTGCAAAAAGTAACATTTTAGGTTAAGTTCGTTTAATAGTGTTAAAAGTTATTAAAAACATAGTGTTAAAAGTTATTATTGTGTGTTATTATTGATAAACTTTAAGCGTAGAAGATTAAAATGATATTATCTTCTGCACATACCTATATTTTTTCAAACGATGCAAATTGCAAAACAAACAAACACCGATCTCGTTTCGATAGTTTGACGTTTAGAATGACAATTTAAAAACGTCAAAAAAAGTCACAGAGTACAAATGCCACGCAACGACAATCTGTGTTTGTAGCCTTGTCTATGGTTCAAAATATGATATTTTTATTTTATTCTTTTACGCGTTTAGAACTCATGAATAGCTATGCAATAACGTGATACGATTAAGTTTCTGAATCTTTATTTAATCTTTGAAGAAAGGAAACCGTCGACTTCGTAAAGTGATGGACTGTACGTATCTTTATTTAATTATTTTTTTTGTTAATATACGAAACGAACGGGGTTCGGGACTATTGTTTATTTTTAATATTGTTAATATTATTCAATATTGTTTATATTTCATATTATTATTGTTATATTTTTTAATATATTGTTATTATTTTATATCTATGCTTCCGATAGACGTGGAAAATGCAAAACTTAAACTCTTTGGTTAAGGCAGATGACAGGCGCCATTTTCAAATTTGTTTGATCGATCACTAAGATTGTGATTAGATTTTTGTATTAGAATATGTATTGATAGATAGACTCCACCATGAATAATTCAAAATTAACTAATCTTAAAGAGAATGAGGACAAAATACGAAAACAAGCGAAGAAATTATTACGACAAAAAACATCCGAAATATTGAAGAAACAAACGCATTTGTTTATGCATGAAAAAAGTCTAACTAAAATGGTAAGTTATTTACTTAATTTTAAGTTTCATAATATTTCTAGTTTAAATATCGTCCTCGTTGATTCGTTTTCTTCAGTGCTAAGGAACGTAACCGTCCTTCTGCCTCACCTTCTCACATAATATGACCTTTCTTCATCCATTTCTGTCTCTGGCGGTGGGTAGGAAGTAGAATCTAGTGTGAGTTGAACGAATAATCAACACATGTGTCGGGCTGCGACGACGAGGCCTTTTCCCCATCCAATTTTTCGATCACAATGGTTTTAAAATCTAAGTTATTTCCACTTTCCATGTAATGTGACAAAAATATTCAAGGACTTTGTGGATTGTCTACGCACTAGGATAATAAATTCGTCCATTTAAATGACTTCCTATATCAGTATCACATTATAATAGGGTTCAAATATTTAAAGTAAAGATAGTGGTACTCACAACGTCGGCCCATTAAATATATATAAAAAAACATATTGTACCTAATAATTATACTTTTTCCAGCCCGAGCCCAAAAACCCAAATCAAGTACTTTATGCGTATTATCACAACAACCAATTAACGAAAATTGAAAATATGGAATTACTATATAATGTTACCCACTTACATTTGCAATGGAACAAAATCACCAAAATGGAAGGCTTGGAAGCCTTGCATTCGTTGAAGAAATTGTATTTGGGTAATAATAAAATCAGCGTAGTAGAAAATTTGGAAGGGCTGAAGTACTTAGAAGAACTCCATATTGAAAAACAGAATTTGGATGGTCCTGATCCTTTGTGCTTTGACCCTAGAACCCTCATTTACATCGGTGTAAGTATATACTGGATTATTAATGGTTACTTGTAATTAATCTTAATATTAATTAATAGTTAATTTTCAACCATTCCCACTAAATAACATGTCAATGTCACCATGGTGATAGTATGGTGTATTTGGTTTTTGTTCGATGATTTTAACTTTTTCTAGGCCTCCCTACGAATATTAAATGTATCGGAAAACAAATTGACTGATATGGCTTGGGTTAAGCCTCTAAGACAATTGGAGGTGCTCGTTGCAAGAAAAAATAATTTGGAAAACTACCAAGTGAGATAATCTATTTTGAAATGATGTTAATTTGTACCTTTCCGTTTTCTTTAATAAAAAGATCTAATTATTTTCTGCCTCTCAGGCAGCAGCTGATGACCTATGCACATTGCTGAGTCTGGTGGAAATTAATTTCTTAGGAAACCCTATGACTAGGAAACATCGATATAAGGAGACTATCATTGCAAGGTGTTCTCAACTACGTAAGCCCTTGATTTTACCCTTAATATTAACATCATCTAGGTCCATCTCATCTTCTCTCATTTTACGTAATAATGCTATTTTTTAGGTATTCTCGATACTGTAGCCATTCATAGTACTTCGAAAACTTTCATGCGAAACTTCGATAAGGTTGTCCGTTTACGGCAACTACACGAGAAGAATAAAATCGAAGCGACTCGTAGGGGAGTCGACGAGTTCTTCGACCTCAACATGTTATCCGGACCGAGAGCTCAAAGTGCCCTCTCTATATCTGAATTTTCTAACCAGAAACCAAAAGGTGAGTTTCTCAATTTATATCTGTTTGATAGTTGTTATTATATTTGAATTTAAATGCACAATTTAAACATACTTTTTATGATTAGGTACAGTTACAGCATTTGATTCAACTTATACCTTCATGCCACGTGCGTTCTGGCGAATGCGGAAAACACCTTCCCCCCATGAAGGTGCCCCACCGATGGTAACCCCACCGCTGGAGCCCCCACCGCCACCGAAACAGCCCTTAAGCGACAACGATATTTTGCCTATCAAGGGAATATTGAAGAAACCTATGCCGATGAAATATATTTAATTCATAATTGTTTATATTTTTTGTAATTATTATAATATTAATCCCACTAAATCACTTGTGCCTTAATTAAAACATTTTATACAATAATGGAGTGTCATTGAAATAAAAATTATAAACTTTTTCTAACAATAGAATTATAAATATAGAAAAATAATACAGTAGAATGTAGAATAAGAAGAATAGCAGTCGTGCAAGACGTGCATCAATCAAGGTTTCCTTATATAGTATATACCGCATATTATACTCTTTGCATCAAGGACATTGAAAAAAGGCGGCCATAATCTCATGAAATAACGAGTGTGACAACATGACGGTGGCTGGGCAACTGGCTGCCGCGCAACGTGTCGCGTGTTCGATTCCCGCACGGAAGAACTCGTTTTGATTTACAGATTGTTGTTGAGGGTCAGTCATGTGTGTGAGAAATTGTATGTTTGGAAAAGCACCGTTTGACGTACATATACCTACATACGGTGTTGCAAGTACCTACCTACCCTTACACATAAATACACCAGTGACATTTTGGTGCTTCAATCATTTCTAAGATAAGTGATATTTTACATTACCTACGTTCGCCCTTTTTTCAACGACCTTGTTCATTAACAAGTCAATAAGTTCTAAAACCTATTTTGTATTTATAATTTTATGTATGTACTTACTTAGGTAAATGTAAATTTTTTTTCTTATACTTATATAAGGTTTGCGGCATATTAAGTGTGGGAGAGCCATGCTTCGGCACGATTGGGCCGGCTCGACCGGAGTGATTCCACGGCCTCATAGAAAACCGACTTAAAACAACGCTTGCGTTGTGTTTCGTCGTGTGAGTGAGGTTACCGGAGGCCCAATTATCCCCCTCCCTAGTCCCCGACTCCTGAATCCTCCACAATCCTCAAATTCTCAATTCCCAAAAGGCCGGTAACGCACTTAAAACGCCTTGGTATTTCGAGTGTCCATGGGCGGCGCCGATTGCTTACAATCAGGTGATCCGTCTGTTCATTTACCGGCTTAGGCTATATAAAAAAAAATGGGATGGCAGGGCAGAATAAGATATTTAAGGACATTGAAAAAAAGTTTAAATTTGTTTATATTTCTGTAAAATTGAACGCTAACGTGAATCATTAGAGAATCTGTGTGTGAATGTTAATGTCAAATTCAAAAACAAAATTAAAGGTTATGTTTACAAAAACATTCATAGTTTAATATTTATACGATAACTATACAGGTAATGACAATAATAAACCAAAAATAGTAACCATGAATAACATAATAAGCGCAGCTTACAGAGTTTTAAATGAGGAAACATCAGGTGGGCTATTTTCTTAAAAAGTTATCATTTCTTATCACTCATAGAGGTTAACTATTTATTTTTAATTGCAGCTTTATATTTGGGCAATAATATAGCAGAGACAGGTGTTTTAGAGCCTATGCAATTTCTCAGGGAGTACGTTTCTAAAAATGTACCCGTTGTAATTCGAAGTGGGTGTTCCAATTGGGCGGCTGTCTCAAAATGGAATGCTGCGTATTTCAGGTAATTGTAACATTTATGACTAATGTTACATGTTACATACACTAATGTACATCAAAACTAAATAAGGAACTCCCGGGTAGGGCAAAGTATTACTGGGTTTTAAAAAAAATCTCAGTAGTAGCATGGAGCCTGGAAATGTGCCTGGTATATGGCAATAGGCTCACCCCCTATAACATGGGACTCATAACATAAATAGTGAAAAGTGGGTGTTACTTCTGTGTGCACTGCTGCCTAACCCTTTGGGGATAAAAGGCGTGATGTTATGTTATACAAGGAGTTTTGGCTAACAGAATTTTATTATATATTTTTCTTATAGCAGATGCTCTATTATTTTAAAATTTAACCATTCTTTAACATATTTTCACAGAAAAAAAATACCAAATAAAAATGTGGTAGTGGCTGTGACTCCCAATGGCTTGGCTGATGGCATCACAAAGAATGAGGAGGGTGAAGAGTTCTTTGTCACACCTTACGAAACCACCATGACAATGACACAGTTTCTAGACGGATTGGACGAGAAAAGGTATTGCTTTAATCTATTTTATTTTATAGATACTGATTTCGTTTTAAATTGATCATCATTTATAAATTTTTTTATATACATAATATCACACCTTTTATTCCTGAAGGGGTAGGCAGAGGTGCACATTATAACCACTGTACAATGTAACACCCATTTTTCACTATTTATGTTATGAGTACCATGTAATAGGGGGTGAGCCTATTGCCATATACGGGGCACAATTCCAGACTCCATGCTACTACTGAGAATTTTGTAAAAAATAAGTAGGTACTTTGCCCGTCCCAGGAATCGAACCCGAGACCCCTTGCCTGGCAGTCGCAATTGCGACCACTCGGCCAACGAGGCAGTCATAATACAGTTTCAGAGAAGAAGTTTAATAATACAGTTTCAAAATATAGTTAAGCCAAATCCAGAAGTAATATTTTTTTAGATTTTTAAAAAAATGTTACCTCGCACTAGGATTTTCTCATGTGTCATGGGTGCGTTTACAAACATACAAGTTCACATACATATGACACCCAGACTCGAAACAACAATCTGTGGATTACAAAAAGAGTTGTTTCATGTGGAAATCGAACCCGCGACATGTTGCACGGAAGCCAGTTGTCCAGCCACTGCGCCAACCATCCAGTCATTGTTATGTTATGTAGTCTAACAATCAGTTAGACTACTTATTTACAATCCATTTTTGGCTCAACTTATAGGCAAAACTTTACTATTAAAAAAAAATTAACCTCTAATTACAGAGAAAATTACATCCAGTACATTCAGAAACAGAACTCCAATTTGATCACCGACTTCCCTGAACTCCTAGAAGATGTGTACACAGAGATACCATTTGCTAGTGAAGCATTTGACAAGTCCCCCGATGCTGTCAACTTCTGGATGGGCGATGAGAGAGCTGTCACTTCTAGTAAGCAGAAACAGAGTATCAATCTTATATACTTATTGTATAAAGCTGAAGAGTTTGTTTTTATGTTTGTTTGTTTGAATGCGCTAATCTCTGAAACTACTGGGCCGATTTGAAAAATTCTTGTTTTGTTGGATGCCCTATTTATCGAGGAGGGCTAGGCTATAAAACTTCACGCTATAATCAGTAGGCGCTGAGCAGAGTGGTTGAATCTGTATAAGAATATAAACTGTTTTCACCAATCACCCCCAAGTAATTTTTTTTTTAACTAAGTGTTACTTTGTATTATTTAGCATCTAAACTAACTCCCCATCTGTATGGGGGTAACTAGGTTGGTAAAACTCAAAATGTCGTTAAGTTCCACCTATCTTAGCTTAAGGAGCATTTAAGCTCTGATTGGCTGGCCCCAGTGAACCAACCAATCGACCGCCGAACTAGATTGAAACTAATTATCATGTTTTCGGCTTACGTAACTGTTTGACAAGGAATTCAAGGAAATAGTTTGATACTAGTCAAGTTCCTCGTCAAACTGTTACGTTAGTAAGCAGAAAACAAAATAATAGACTTAACCCGTGGTATGCCGGAACGTATATCCACGCGAGACTCGATATATTTCTATTGTGACTCATATACGCCATATTCAAGAGGTTAACCTGTTGAGTTTTCTTATTTCAGTGCATAAAGATCCGTATGAGAACATATACTGCGTGATAGACGGATATAAGGACTTTATCTTAATTCCCCCCACAGACCTACCCTACGTGCCTTATAAACGCTACTCGCAGGCCGAGTTCAGGTAAATTATATTTGATAGCAAGGAGGTCTTTTTACTAAACTGTAACTCATTTTAATTGAGTAAAAAGTTGTCTCGTTGGCCGAGTGGTCGTAAGTGCGACTGCCGGGCAAGGGGGTCTCGGGTTCGATTCCCGGATCGGGCAAAGTATTACTGGGTTTTTAAATATTCTCAGTAGTAGCACGGAGTCTGGAATTGTGTCCGGTAAAATAATAATAAAATAAATAGTGAAAAGTGTGTTACATTGTACTGTGGTATAATGTGCACCTCTGCCTACCCCTTCGGGGATAAAAAGGCGTGACGTTATGTTATGTTAAAAAGTTGTCTTATTTTTTGTATAAAACTGACAAATTAACCTTTTCTTTTTTTCTCAGGTACACAGATAACAAATGGGAGATTGTACCAGTCGAGACTGTCAACATGGTGAAACAAACTAGTACAGACGTGGATACTGTTCAGAATGACGAGTACTTCCAGTCCTCAGGGCTGCCTTGGATTAGTGTAGGTGAGGTATTGGCAGATATACTGTCTTTAAGTTTTTAAAATAATGTTTTTAAAATGTACGTACCTACGTAACTATTTTACTACTAATTACGACATTGTTGACTTTGGTTCTGATTGATTGATTGATTTCTTTAATCTTTTTGATTAGGTATAAATTAAATTTTGATAAATTGTCGATACAATCAATTTGACTGTAAATTTTCATTGTTACCATACGATAAATTATTCATTTATTTATTTATTACTACTTTCTGCCCGTGACTTCGTACGCGCAATCCCGATTTCTCCCGTTCCCCATCACATCTCCTGACAATAACAAACACAAAAAAAAAATCAGCCAGATCGGTCCAGCCATTTTCAAGTTATGGGAATATGACAACAGGAAACGGGTTTAATTTTTATATTAGAGATTATTTTTTTACCTATGGTCGTCCCACTGCAGGGCATAGGCCTTCCTACTCTCTTTCCCCTCGTCTCTTTTTACAAGACGATAAATATCCTGTATAATAATTAATAATTACACAGTGGAACCATTACCAGTGAAACCACAGTGAACAAAATATTAAGTAGGTACCTGCAAAATATAAGTTAACCAAAAACAATCCTTATTTACAGATCCATTAGCTCCAAATTACCTAACATACCCGGAATTCAAGAGGGCTCACGTTTATTCGGTGCGTCTGAAGAAAGGCGACTGTCTTTACCTGCCCAGCCTCTGGTTCCACCACGTTAGACAGAGCCACGGTTGTATAGCCGTTAACTATTGGTACGATATGGAATTTGACGTCAAATATTGTTATTTCAAAATGCTTGAAAAGCTCTGTGGAAGTTATTGACTAGAAGAGGGCTCCCTGGATACGATGTCCAACAGTTTTGTACGTGTTCAGCAACGCACTTCTGATACCTCTGGTGGTGTTCTTAGGCTACGGTGATTACCATCAGGTACGATGTAAGCATTGTTACAATTGGATATAGTGTAAATAGAAGCAAAATTTTGAATGCAAAATTGATTAGAACTGTGTATTCTCGTGGTATCTCTTTCTTTATAACTGAATGAGTTAAGCTGTGAAAGAGATGTGAATAGTCTTCTAATAATGTCCACTGAATTAAAGAATGAATTGCAATTTTACATGTTTTGTTACGCACTTCAAAGAGACCTGTTTAATTGAAAGAGAGAATGCATGAGTGGGGTATTTTTAATACATTCTTACGTGTAAATGTAGAAAATTATTTCTTTAATATTCGGGAGCCTGAAGAAAAAGTATAGCAGCATGGCAGATGTTAAAACACTTCTTAAATAATACACCGCTTTGGTGTTCAAAGTCATTATTTAAATTATTTACCATGTACATACATAAATGAATTTGTTTTTATATGAACTGTTAATAAAACTATTATGAATTATTTGTATATTATTTTATAAAACAGAGCAAAAATAAATTACAAAAGAATATTATCGAAACTGGTTTTAGGCTTCTTGACAGATTTTTTGCTCCCGTCAGGCGAATGTTCTGGAAACAAGAATATTAATAACTAAGAAGAATAATACCGATGCCGGCTGCCTACGAGAAAAAAAAACAACGTATTTTTAAAAGGTGAAAGGTTGACTTCTCTATTATTTATTGCTTATCATCATGGTGACCAGTTTGTTAATTTGGCCTCTACTTAGATATTCCATAAAAACCCAAATGCCTACAAGTAACCACGCTCCATAACCACGACCGAGCAAAACTAGAATAGATTTATCAGATAGGCTAAATAGATAGATAATAGATAGGTCGAACTCATTCGCGTGCTACTGGAGAGGCCTATGTTTTTTTATATAGGTACCACGAGTATGTCTTTTTTTTTTAAGGGGGAAAATCATCGAATGACTGCTCCCGCCTGGGTGAGGCGGGAGGGAGTGTCACACTCTTACTGACTAAAAACCACCCCGTTCCTTCTCCTGCACGTCGAGCCGGAGCCCCGGTTACCCGTTAGGTTCTCCGCGACTCCGAATCGGCATCGGCCCTTAATTGGGCCCCATCTACGAGTATGTGTCTAGAAAGGGATGGAAACAGGCTGATAGTTTAAATAACCTTAATTTAGTTATTACCATGATATCTGGGTATACGTTGGATCGCGGCGTGATATAGTCGAGCTTGCATAGGCCGCGCGGTGAGCATATGCCGACCACGTTCTGAGTGACGCATACACTGCCGGCGTTCCAGGCCCGCACCCACGTGCTGTTGCACGAGTAGTCCTCGCATAGACGTATCGTTACATTCGCTGTAAAGGTGTAAGAAATAATAGATAACATAAATAGTGAAAAGAAAAAGGGGTGTTACATTGTATAGTGGCATAATGTACACCTCTGCCTACCCCTTCGGGGATAAAAGGCGTGATGTTATGTTATGTAAATAATAGATACCTTATCATAGCTAAGCCCGGTGACTAAATGACATTGCATTTTAAAGTACCCACTTTTATTTATAACTTTTTTAACGCATGTGTGTAGCCATCCGGCGTCAAGCGGGATCTGGAAAAAATGTAGAGTCCGGCAACCGAGCTTTTTATAATAACTATCGTGAGACATACTGAATTAACTAAAAATCGCGGGTTACTCACTGTACTAGTACGGGTACTACTGCAGCAGTAGGCTGCACGACATCGCCGCAACCGCGCACGCTGCTCATGAGGAAGAACCCCTCTGTGGTTCGAAACTAGTAGAGCTTTTCTCAGTATATTCACGTGAGTAACCCGCGATTTTTAGTTAACCGAGCTTTTTGTCACTACACAACGCCGATAAATCACCCGGCCTCTGTCACCATGTCTGATGTCACTTCTTAACTGTTCAGTTTTCGTGTCAAACTTAGTGTAATGGGAACCATAATGTTCAGAAACTGGTTTCCAGCAAAGCTGCTGGTCCGATCAGTTTGCAAGCAGTTACTAGCAGTAGTAGTACTCACGTCCTCTGTAGTCTTCATCAGGCCAGTTTTTTGGTAGCGGTGTGTTAGCGGCCAGTCTCTCCCGGGCCGCCTCCTCCACGCCCACGCACTGCGGCCGCCCGCCAGTGATTGGGACCTCGCAGCAAATACCGCACATATTCATCTCGCCTAACATTGAACCCTGGAAGAGGACTTAGTATCACATCTCATGTAATCTCCCATTGGGTTAAGCAGAAAATGGGACGCCAAATGGCACGATTTCATCATATTTACCTCTTTCGCTTTTCTACATTCGTCTCCCTTCGTACTAACACTTATGTCTACATTAAGTGACATAAATGTAACAGGGAATCATATTTCTTTCGCCTCTACAAACTTGCCCATTCTCCCTCCATAAACCTTTTTCGTAACTTATCTAGCATCCGTTCTTTCAATACGTCCAATAATCCAATTCTTATGGACATTTAGATGGTATATTAGTAAAGTTCGTCAGGATAGGGTCACTTATAACAGGATCTTAATGATCTTACCCGTAAGAGCCCTTCTGCCCGTGGTTTCTTGACGCACTGGCACTCCCTGAGCCCCAGCGTGGCGCACTCGGCCGCGTGACAGGACCCGTCAGACATGCACCTTCCGTTCAGACCACACCGACACTTTGCCGACAGGACCTCACATGTACACTCTCTGTCTTGATCTCTGCAGTCCTGGAATTTTAAAATGACTAAAAAGCGAGTTGTGATCACATTTTCAAAAGATCATCTTATAGGTACTTCTTATTCTATTATATAAATCGAAAGAGTTTGTTTTTTTGTTTGTTTGTTTGAACGCGCTAATCTCCGTAACTACAAGTCTAAATTGAATAGTTATTTTTGTGTTGGATAGCGCATTTATCGAGGATGGCTATAGGCTATAAAACATCACGCTGCGCCCAATAGGACCTGACCAGAGCGTGTGAAACCGCGCGGAAGTAGCTAGTCTTTTATAATGTCTATTATGCTGATGATTTGACAAAATAGGAAGGCAGTGGAAGTATTCATTGTGATCGTTATAACTTTGGGTAGGTATACGTCAAACGCATCACGCCTTTTATCCCCGAAAGGCTAGGCACAAGTGCACATTATGACACTTAATGCCACTGTACAATGGAACCCACTTTTACACTATTTATGATATGAGTCTCATGTAATAGGGGGTGAGCCTATTGCCATATACCGGGCACAATTCCGGACTCCGGGCTACTACTGATTTTTTTTTAAAAACCCAGTTGTACTTTGTCTGATCCGGGAAACGAGCCCGAGACCCCTTGCCCGGCAGTCGCACTTGTGATCACTCGGCCAACAAGGCAGGCAGTCAAACGATATCGTTTGCAGAGAATTTGCAGAGAAGAATATTGATGGCAATCATAGGCTTGCCATAATGTTTACGCCCGGTCGGCTCTTATTACCATTGGCTGGAACTGGAAGATCTAATTATTCTTCCTGGTGGTAATTCTATCTACTATCACCACACGACTTGGTCAGTGCCGGATTAGCCACGTAGCAAGAGTAGCAAATGCTACGGGCCCCGCGGATTGGGGGGCCCCGCGCTCAAATAGGTATTTCGTAATTACACCCCTTCAACAGCAAGACTTATGAAGAAAATGTTGGTACCATTGGCGGGCGAACCGAGCCCGATTTATACGAATCAAAAATGAATTTATTAAGGAAAAAACACTACGGGCCAAGAACGTCTTAATCGTCTCACAATGTTGAATATAGAGCATGACTTGCTTAAGGCTTTGACTGCCGACAGAAAACTGTTGAAGGTAAATCCTCCGCTAGCGTGGCCCATACCTTGTCCCCATGGCGTTCAAGGTATTAAAGAAGTCGGTATTGAAAGTGTAATCGCTAAATTTGCCCATAACAAATCCAGAAAAGTTTATTTGTAACAGTTTTGTTTTATGTAATAACACCCTAAATGACAATGACCAAATTTGTATGGAGCGTGGTGCCTTTTTATTTTTTCGCGGC